CAACACCCCTGAGTCTGTGTGACCAATAAAAATTTAAAAAAAAAAAAAAAAAAGGCCAGATTGTTTGCTATTAAAGCAAAAGACTTTATCAGACGACCAGGGTGCTCAAAAAATTCACTACTGGGGACACTACCTTCGGTCCTCTAAAGAAAGCAGAAAGAGCCATTTCTACTTGTGTTCGAAACTTTTTGGCTCTGCTTTTCTGAATTTGGCGTCCACAGGCTCAGACCCGATTCTCTTGCTGCACGCCTCATGCAAACACTTAACCATAGTACAAAACAGATGAAAAATGCTACTCTTTCATGTGGTACCACTTCACATTTGCTCTCCACAGCATAACAGGTTGCACAAATGGCACGAGGCTCTCACAGTCTGCACTTCCCCCTGACCTCAGCAGTTAGGACTATATCTTGTGCAGAACAGCAGAATGGCCTCTCCCCGCTTTCTCGGGCTTGGCAGGCACAGAGAGCTTTTGTGACACACTGACCTTTCAACTGCCTAGCAATTCTCTGTTTGCATCGCTGTGCCTGCATCACCAGGGATTTGACTTGATCTCTAGACAAGATGCTGATGAAACTTGATAATGGGCTAATTGCCAACAAGTGGAAACCAGTGGTTACGTAGCAGAGACCAAGAGCATAGAATATAACCTGAAGAAGTTTTATTTGCAAAATCCTTGATAGTGATGCTTGCTCTACATCTGAGGCTTATTCACTGTGAGCTAGTATAGAACAAAACATCCAGAGGGAGTTGAAAGACTTGGTTGTCCTGCTTGAGAATTACTTTCAGTCAGATTTGCAAGCTGACAGAAGAGTCTGGTAACTAGTAGCAGCTCGATGCTAAGTGAAGATATGACCAGAAATTGTCCTATGGGTTAAGTGTACTTTAAAATGCAAAAAAATACAAACAAGAAAGGCTTCTGTGGTGATATTAGTGGTGTCAGCTTTGGTTTTTACTTTTGACTGCCATCTTCTGATCTGCTTCTCCCGAACTTCTTTTTTAGGGATTTTTTTTTTTTCCATCTGTGAAGTAAAGAAAGAAGAGAGATGATACTGAAAGCAGTTGTGCTGTTGGGCTATGCTCTGGGCATCAGTGCGTTACCCCTGGAAGAACTCGAAGATGGAGGCAAGCACTGGGTCGTGATAGTTGCAGGTTCAAATGGCTGGTACAACTACCGACACCAGGTAAGGGCAGCTAGTCCCACATGATGACGCTGACCACACTGCAGAAAGCACCTGGTCTGGGACTCATGGCTGATGGTAGCTGCCTAGGCTAGTTCAGCTCTTCTGTCGTTTGGGCAAGTCCTTCTACTTCAGGACTTCCAGGCACATACTAGTGTATATTATTCAAAAAAGATACAGCAACAAGATTGACACAAAGCCCAGTCTTCTATTTGTCATTTTCACCCCAAGAATTCCCCTCCTCCTCAATTTTTTTTCTTAAAACCATTTCCAGTCTTTCTTCCTTTGAAAAGCTGCTATTAGCAGTAGGAGCAGTATTCTTCCTTTAGTTGTACTTACAAGACAAGATCGTAGACCCTTATAATTTAGGCTTGATATCTTCCTACTAGGCCAGAGGTCTGACCCCAACTCTCAGATGGATAAGGGATGTCTAGAGTTAAACCTCATTTTGAGACACACATATATTTCTACCTACTTGCTTTCTTCTTGTTTTCCTTGTGTTATGAAAAATCTCTCTTTCTTTTCTGCCAGTGAAGGAGTTGACTAATGCTGCAAATGCACAGTATGTTTTTTGTGGGTGGAGGATATTGGGAAGGGTTTTTTTTTTTTGAACTTGATTCAATTTGTTCATTCTGTTCTACAGCAAGGCCCCAGAGCTGTGTTGGCACCACAAAGATATGGTGCACTGAGATGCAGGAGTTGGAGTGAATGGCAGAAAGAGGAGAAAAGGGAACAGGAACTCCTGAGTCTGACATTGCTGTCAAAGACAGCATGTCATGGAATTATGGTCTAAGTGTGAGTGTCAGGATGGACAGGATTAAATCCGAGTGACTTAACTCTAATTAAGCTCAAGACTTCAAATCAGCCATCAGGAGACTTCAGCAGTTTTTCCCTTTGAGGAAGTCTTGGGTAATCCCTTAAAAAGGTTAATCTACACTTAAATACAATCTTTGCTCTAAACTTGGAACTGCTTTTTGCTTTCCTGGAGAACACATTCCATTTAATTCTTATTTATACTATACACAAATATATATTTCTAAATGTTAGAAAAATGTTTTGCTAGACTGTTGCCTTTCAGTCTCTGTTCAAGTGCACCTTAACTAACAAGTGTACAAAACTAACATTCTGAAAGTTAAATGAAACGATATTGAATGTACTGGGTACAAATACCAGACTGATTGGCTGAACCCTGAAACCTGTTAAATATTTACTGTTCTTAATGTAACTGCCTGTGAAATCTAGGGAGATCTCATCCTCTGTATTTTTGTTTGTTGAGAAAGAAACAAGCCTTCCATGTGTTTGGCATGTGTATGCCTCTCCTACTGCCCCAGCTAACAGTCAATTTGTAACTTTTAGTGCAACAACTAGCTTAAAACTGAGTGAACCAGGCTGACAGCCTTCTTGCATCTGAAGAAGAACCTGTTACTGGCAAATGCTAGCCTAACAGTTTGACAAACTGATTTTAGGGATTTTGCGATCTCCTTGCACTGCAGCTTTCACTTGAAAAACACATTTGGAATATTGTAGGCTTTAGCATAACGTCTTACTATTTCAAATTATATCTGAAAAAAGAGGTTTTAGAAGTTGAAATCTGTCTTCGTTGAGCACAGCAAACCATTATAAAAATGCTAGTGTGGTACTTGGTCACTGCCTGCCCTGGAGCATCTAAGTGCAATTATTCTGAGTTGTGCTTTGGTTGTTCCTGTTGTTGTATAACCAGTCTCACTAGATCCCCTCCACTCTAGGAGGAGTTAATTGCTCAGCATTCATTCTTTAAATAAAATTACATTTTTTTTTAAGCTGTTGCTCAGGAGAATTCCTTTTCTACGGTTGCCCAGGCATACAGCTTTTAACGTTTCTGTCAATGGACCTTCGATAGCAAATATATCTGCCAGGTATAATATGAGTTATGAAGAAAACAAGATTCATACTTATGTATTTGTCCCTTCAGCAATAAACCTTCTGAACACTTCAGAATTTCACACAAACAAATTAATTTTGAATTCAGTCCTGCTTTGATGACTGTTACTTCAAGAAATTGCTTTTTAGGGTTAGAAGAATTAGAACAGTATTTCTTTAAACAGCTTCCTTTTGGAGATAGCGTCAACTAACAGTGCAAAAGATCTGCAGTATCGGATCGTTCTGACTTTCAGTGCTAGAAATGCCCATTTTTAACTTCCACTTCTTGCCTCAGGTACAGTATTAACAGTTAGGAGAAAATAAAATTAGAATGCTAAGAATCCTATCAGTGAAATCAGCATCGTAAAACAAGAGAGTCTATGTGAAGGACCCTTAAGAGTGGGATCGAGCTCTTATTTATCTGTCCTAGGCAAGAGATCATGCCTCTAACTTGTTCCCAGCAGAATCAGTTCCCAAAGGGTGCAGTGCATCAGTAGCCTGTGCTATCTTGTCTAGCTGCCCTGTGCAGGCAACCTTAGGAGGCTGGCAGGGGTGGGCACCCTGTGTGGCGGGAGGACATGCGGGAAGCAGACGCAGCAGCTAGTCATGGAAAATCCACTGTGTGCCACCAAGTATAATTCGGAAAAAAAGGTGCCTTGAGTATCAAAAAGTTAGGGTACTCCATCCCAACAAAAAACAGCTAAGCAATGGAGCTGACTTTTCTAGAAGAGCTGTACAGAGGAGGAAATGTGCTTGATCTCAGGAATTATTACAGATTTTCTTAGAAACAGGCAGACCGATTGCCGTGTGTTCAAGTGTGTTACTATTCGCTACTTTCCAGCTGTGGAAACAAAAGCACTGTGAGTCTTTAAATGACTTGCCCGAGTCACGTGCAATGGAACCAGAACAGGACTTGGATTTCCCGTTCTGTGCGTCATCCATCATGGATGCCATTCTGTAGTGAGCACACAGAGAAGCATCGCGTTAGTTTTCAGTAGAGTAAATGGAAGCACAGGCTGCCAGAAAACTCACAAGCAGCGTTCTGGGATTGCAGATTTATTTGTGCAATTTTTTGTTGCTGCTTTCTAAGGGAGAAATTGCGGAAGAAAATACGCTGTATTCTAATTCATTTTCTTCCTGCCATCACCTGTCTTCCTCAGAACTTCTCTGAGATAGCCTGTGTGTAAGTTTGTAGATGTGAATCTTCCTGTAAGCAATTACTCAAGGTATGTGTTTTATTGCCAAATTGGATGTTACTCCCTAAATGCGGCTAAGCCAAGCATAATCTCCCTTTGTATTTGGAGACCTCAGCTGACACTTCTCTGGATTTCTACTATCCAGTTCAGCTGTTCAGGGCACAGTTCATACAAACATGCAACATGTATGTATTATGTGAATCTTCTGTGAGCTCCAAGTGTTTTGCGTGCTGCCTGCACGCAACAGAGTCAAAGCATACCCTGTTGCCTTCCACAATAGGTACCTGCCAGGAGCAGCAACCATAAAAGGGGGGAAGATAATTTTAAATAAAATAATTAAGATTGCTTAATTATTTATAAAAAATGTCCCTGATTTTATCCATAGAAAAGTTGTGGGGAACTTAGTCCTTTGTTGTACACAGTACAGACTTCCCTTAAACAGTGAGTTGTAAAGGCTGTACAGACCCTTATAAACAGTGAGTTTGAGCCTTTAACTGCAAGGAATCTGAAACTCCTTCTAGACTCGTAATTCAGCTGTCAGTGGTCAGAATCCACTATCAGTGGTGCTAACCTCAAGCATAGACAAGATAAGGAAAAGCCACTGTTTGCACTTTTCTACCCTTGAGATTCACACCTTGCAGATAGTCAGTTCCTGTTTGATGGCTGAACTGGGACTGTTTCCAAATTAAGATGATCTAAACTTATCTTTTACCTTTATCTCAACAAGTTGCCTAACACAATTTCTAAATGTTTTTAATAGCATACAGCCTGATGTGATAGGCTTATTCTTACTGCAAAGCTTGTGAAAATATTGTTCCTCTTGGTTATTGGGTATTTTCACCCAGATCTTAGTGTTTTTAGTTAGAGTTGCCTGGGCTGTGGGAGGACTATAGTCACAGTTACTGATACTTTTCTGCAGATCTCCTATCTGTACTGTCCCAGAACTCCCCTCCGGGCCCAGGAGGAGCAGAGAAGGAGTTCCACTATTCCATGGGAAAGTGGTTCAGCTGTCTGCTCTGCAAAGACCCGGCTGATGTATCTTTGGAAAGCTCAGTGACGTAAGTGAGCGAGTACAGCACTGCATGTTACTGGTAGATTAGAGAATGAGAGTGACACAATAAACTAGTTCTCTTCAAGAGTCAGAGAACTGTACATACCTCTGCCTCTCCTGGGAGATGGTCACATCAGCTAACTCAAATCTACAGGTGATCTCACAAACAGATTAGAAAGAAAGATAGGCCAACACCTTCAGGGTACCCCAAAAGACACACATGAACATAGCCAATGGAAGAGCTTGCTTTGAAAAGCAGAGTCTTACTAAAGGTAAGTATATATTTGAAGGAAGAAGTAACTGATAAAAGCTAGGAAGGTGAAAATGCTAAAAATAAAAACATTTGAATTGAGTCATCTTTCAGTTGTTGTTTGCAGTCTTATGCTTAGAAAGTGAGCTGTATGGGCCAGGGATTTTATTTCTTCTGGGTTTCGGACAGTGCTATCCGTGACGGTTTCTTAGTCCAGGTTGGTGCTTCTAAATTCGCCACTCTTTCAGGTTACAGACATGAAGGATACCTTAGCAACTGGGCTTCAGTTAACATTTCCCTGCTGTGCATACAAAATTATGACTGAAGCTATGGAGGAACCTTTCCTAAGTTATACAGATATAACTGATTGATTGATGCATGTTTAAGGAAAGAAGTGAAACAGCTGAAATGAAACAGAATGAATCAGCTCAGTTCTGAGCCAGACAGTTTCTAGAAGTGGCTGCCATTTCAGATAGGTTTCTTGTACCATGCTTATACATTAGAACTTGTCCTTTTTAGGTCATAGCATTTCATTGTTCCTGAAGCAGGAGCAACACCACTTTATAATGAAGGTGACAGTTCATTACACATGCTTTTTAGCCATGAGCCTGGCCATCATAAGACTGGAAGTAACCAGTTTCAAAGAAGCCCCAAGGTTTTTCCTCTAGGAACTGTTTATACATGCATGTGTCATAAGACAACTTGATTTTTCCAGAAAAAAAAAAGCCAAAAACCCCAGAGTACTCTGTCTGAAAGCTATGTCACTCAGATGAATGATCAGCTGTATAAGAGAAGAGAATCAGGATTTTCCTTTTAGAATTTTCCCCTACGCATTTGGGGATACAGAATGCCTATCCCAGGAAGATGGGGGGAAATCCACCTCTGAGCCCTGTGCCTTTAAGCTCTTGGAGTCAAACATGAGCAAATTCAAGTATAAATCCTTGTAGGAATTTGCTAATATAGCAACAGGTTTAGACTAACCTGTGGATGAAGGGTCTGAACTCTCCCATTAGCACTTTCTGCTACTGACCTGGCATCTGAGGTCAGTTGCACAGCAGCAGCTGCTCGCTACACCTTGTCCGTCTTCTCCTACCTTGCTCCCTTTAACAAGGTGCTACCTGTTACGGAAGTAGTTCGACCCTAGGTTTCCGAGGAGTAGAGTCTCACGTACGTCTAGCAGCAAGTTTAATTATTTATTTAAATGATGGTACAGCAAAGTAACAGCTTGAGCTGGGTGCCTCTGGGGAGGGACCCCGAACAAAGAAATTCTGGGGTAATTATACTCCTTACAGTTTTATTTCCCCGCCTGCCTGTGACAGTGTCTTCCAATTTTCTTTACTGAGTGGTGGTCTCTTTCCTCTTGGTTGCTTCACGTCTACATCCCGGGACAGTTGCTGTGTTCCTGCTTCCTAGTGCCTTATCTTATCTGAAGGTTAACGGTTACCTCTGTCCATTGTGTTCTGTATCTGTTGGGGCTGGTTCTAGCTAGTTTTGCAGTCACATCCTCAGCAATGTCTTTCGAGCTCATTTACAATTCAGTCCTGTGGCCTGAAGGCTTCATTTACCTTAGGCACTAGCGCTAAGCTGAGCTAGAGCTAAATTAGCTCCCTTTTCTAACATTACCCACCCTGAATCATTACTACAAAGTAATGACTTTGGGGGGGGGGGGGGGGGGGGAGAGGGACAATTTTATTCAGTGAGTGCTCGTAGCATTCATTTCACTTACTAAACCACCAGGAACTATACCAACAAGAGAACTGGAGTTGGCTGTCTCTGTTAGGAAAGCTTACAGAGGTGCCACAAGTGTTTACAGAAGAAACAAGACTCAAAAGCAATACTGGGTAGACACTTTTAGATCAACAGGAAACACTCTGGCTTCACATGCATCTGACTGCTCTAGCAGCAGGCTGAGTTTTCACTCAGGTTTTATAGTTTTTATTTTCCTCCTTGTACAGTAGGGAACAGGAGGAGTGCCTGACCAACATTAGATGGCTAATCAGGCCAACCAATGTCACACAAAAAAGATTTGCTCAGAATTGTCCTAGTGAAGCCAAATGGAGTTTTAGTGCAAAACAAGTTTTTGCAGCCTATGTTAGTGATATTGTTATGCTACCAATGGGTGCAGTTTCCTTAGCAAAACCTGTAAAACATTAGGACAAACGCCAAACAGACATAAGTTAGAACACCTTGATGGAAATTAAATTGATCCGCTTCCCTCTGCGCTAGGGAATTTGACCAATGTAAATTTACTAGCAAGACCTATTTTTGAGATACTTGGAGCCTCTGTCTCTTCAGTTCTTCCCCAAAAGAGCCTGTCCTTCAGACAAGTTTCCCTTAGCTCTTAGGAGCAGCTATAATATTATGTAAGCCACAAATGCTGTCCCCCTGCTATCACAGGATAAAAAGGCATGCCCCACTGCAAGCAGTTTGCTGTCTGAGTAAGATAACACGTAGTGAGCAAGCCAATCAATGAATCAGAAGGAAAGGAAAGGGGAACAAAAAAAGTTGATAATATGCATTTACAAAGCTGAAGTAATTTTGGTTACTTTAGTATTTATTAAAAAACACGTCAGAAGTCCCTATAGGCGAGGCACATGTCTGTGGGAGCACAAAGACACTGGTGGGTTGAATACGTTGATGTTATATCACTATAACGTGCCTAAACGTTTCCTTGTGGAGCCAGCCCATAACTCTTTCTGTCAGCATAACGGATGCAGCACGCTATGCCTTGAGGGTGCAAGCAGATCTATGATCTACTCATTGATCAGAGTAGAGAGCCCTGATGAGTGCTTTCTACTGCTTTTACCTGAAAATTAAATACATTTGCTAAAATCTGCAGTCTGCTGTTTTGTATGCTGATACCTTTGTAACTGTCTAATCTCTACCTTTTGACTTGTTGTGGCAGCAGAATGCATAATGCCATACAAATAGCTGGGGAGCTATAAAGAGGATAGACTGTCTGGGATAGGTGGAAGAGAACCTCATCTGACTTCCATAGGAGGAAGTAAAACTGCTTTGGTAAGGACAATTTAACGTAAAAGGTTAGTCATGTGAAGAGATTTTGCTGTGGCAGAATTCATTAACGCTGAAAGTGCCTCACCCTTCCCAGAGTCTTGCACAACTACCATTTCTTTTCTGCTTCAACCACGCTTAGAAGACCAAGGATTATAAAATGACAGGATTTTAGTGTTCTTTCAATTAAAGTAGCACAAATCACTAGTATGGATTCACCTAAGCCAACTAAACTGCTGTAGGTCCACCTAAACCAGTTTAGTTTGGTGTATAAATTAGCAAATTAGACTAATTCAACAAATGCGAGCTTTAAAGGTTGTTTCTTGGCTAGAGTTGGATTTTGCATGTGTTAGACTAGATTTCTTCCATGAAGTCCCCACAGCTTTTCTAGCATGTGATAAGTTATAGTTCTGGAGATTAAGAATGATTGTTGACAATCCATTCACGTAATTCACGGACTTGAGTCTAAGGTGGATTTGAGGTGGGGCACTAAGAATGTAGCAGTCTGACAGAGGTTCATACTTTACTGTAATATCACTTTAACGAGTACTGCCATTTCTGCGTCATCAGAAGATGGTTTGTAAAGAAAATCTGCTTATTCATGTCCTGTACAAGTCAGGAAAGGAGCCTGAATAGAAATTCTGCAGTTTTGTTTTCCACTGAAATCTGTTTTCATGCCCTGAAGTTGCTTGAATGTTATTCTACAGGAAATACATAATTAAAGAGGAAATTTTCCTTTCTGATCTAGTAAAACAAAATTTAACAAATCTTTGCAGAGTTGAAATGGGTAAACTGTGCTTGTTAAAGGACAGTCTTTGATACTTAGTTGTGCAGGCTTGGTGCAGAACTAATTGAAATTGGTGGAAATGCAACTTTTTCTTCCTCTGCTTGGCATTCTTTGGATCTGTTAGTGACAAGATTTCCTCACAGAATGCAGGAAGTTGCTAAGAATCTTTTGGGAAATTTTGTTATGTTTGGCAAGGCTCAAAAAACTGCTGTCTTTATTTCAATAAGAATTTGAAATAGGTTAATGGGAGAGAGATTTTTATCATAGTTTCTGTATTATTAGTACAGCTCTTCTGGATTAGAGAAGGACATTGAGTTTTGGATTACATCTGTACGTTTCAGCTCTCCAGCAACCCTCAGTCTCTTATATTTGAAATGAAGATACCAGGTTGGAGATTCTTTCGGATTCTCTTCTCAAAGGTAAAGTCTCCATTAAAACTGTTAATGGAAATTTGCTCAATTTCAGGCAGACGTGTGCCACGCGTACCAGATTGTACACAGAAATGGAATTCCAGATGAACAGATCATTGTCATGATGTATGATGACATTGCAGATAATGACGAGTAAGTGATGAACACGCACTGGTGTCAGCCTACATGTTTACTACAAATGTGCCATGGTCACCAATGTTTTGAGCATGTAGTTGTTCTGTGAGAAAAGCCTTTAAAGCTGCCCATGATATGCATAGGGCCATTTTATCTGCCAGCACAGTGAGTCTACTTTGCAACATGCTCATCAGCTTTCTAAGCTTTAAGTCACAACTTGGCATCAGTTACAGCACTGAAAACTTACAGTTCCTTGTAAATTCTTCAGTAGTGTGAAAGAAGTAAGTGATCTTAACTCTTAGGCTTAACAGTTAACGGCAGATAAATACCTTAAAACACGAATGTGGGGAAGCTCAGTATTTTGTTTGCAGTTTTTTTTAAAAGGACGTTATCATCTTGTTTAATCCCCAGAACACACATTCAACAAAGTGTACATGTCCCACTCGTGGTGACTATCTATATCTGTATCTATCTGTATCACTGCTTTCAATGCAAAACTGTTCAGTTTTACAAGCTTTAATTCTGATACACCTTCAGCAGAAAACAGCAGACTTCATATGCGTGGCAGTAGTGGGAGCAGAGAGTAAAGGGGATTAAGGGCAGCAAGACTGAAAGTAGATGATAGTGTCACAGACCATCTACCTATGTCCTCAGAGTAATCTACCTGATCTCAGGCAGCACACTTGAAGGTGCTGAAAGGGTAAGGACACCTGAGCTGAGCATGTGTGACTGACTGAAGTGAAAAGACCTTCTTATGTGGCAAGCAGCGCATGTATCTCTATTCTTTCAGGCAAGATGGTCAGTCAGGACTGTTTAAATGGTTTCCTAGTTGATCTGTAGGCATTTTGTGGCACATGACTAATTCTTCATATTTATGTCCCATTTAACTTTCAGAAATCCAACGAAAGGCATTGTCATCAATAGACCTAATGGCACAGATGTGTATGCAGGAGTACCCAAAGACTATACAAAGGAGGTAGGAATGAAACATCATTCCCCTGGGGACCTGTGGTTCAACAATAACCAGTGTTCTGAATAAATCTTTTTAGCCTGTAGCTGACGCTCCGTACTGCACATGGCCTCCAGTTTATTCATGCCTGCATGGTTAGGCCGACCATTGGTAAGATGGATGTACACAATTAGGTGCTTTGAATTGAAGCAGTGGTTACAAAAATAAACCATTGCAATGTTTGCTGTACTGCACCCAAAACAAGGTTTGAAAGTCTTGCATTTAAAACCAGTTTAACTCAATCTGAAAGAAAACTGTTTAAAACTAAATCTTTCATTACATCAGAACAGTAATCCAGTCACTTAGTGATTTCATGATTCAGTATCTGAGTGAGTCATAAGTGTCTAAAGCATTAGTGATAGATTGAAAGGGAAAGGTCTGTGCATGCAGCCCTGAAGTTAAAAGATGAGGGATTGGTAACTGTGTCACTGAAGCTAAAATTGCTGGCAAGCTGAAGAGGTGGGCAGGAGTGGGGGAAGGTAGGAACTTTTTAATTTGACCTCACCACTGAACAGAAAATCTCAAGAAGCCGCAATGAGAAATTTCCAGAGGAGAGTAAGGCTTTTTTATCTTGAGAAGTTTGGGTAGGATTGAGGGTGTGAGTTTCCAGTGATAACTATACAGGAGTAAGTAAAACCTTTGGTAAATGTTCTCATTCTAATACAATAGTACTTTTTCACTTTGGCCTCTATTCCTTTGGAAGCTGCTGAAATATCAGAAAGAGAATTACTTTCAGATTAAGAGCAATACAGAAAACTGAAAAACTACTGTTCCTGAACATCAGTGGCCAGCTAAATTTGCCATCCATTAAGACGCAAGGGTTCTGACTTTCAGAAGCTATCTTTCTAAATGAAGATTTTATTGTTGTTTTTAGCGATCACATTTAATTTAAATCTTCTCACATTCTTAGGATGTTACTCCAAAGAATTTCCTTGCTGTTCTCAGAGGGGATGCAGAAGCAATGAAAGGAGTAGGATCAGGAAAAGTGTTGAAAAGGTAAGACAGCTTCCATTTAGAAAATAATTGCATACACTGTACACGTGTATGTATACACTGACTTTCAACAAAAGAAGAGGGTATGTTAGAGCCTTTTACAACTTGAGAATCCATCAAGACTTTTGATGGCGATCCCCAATCATTTGCATTAGAGATGCAATGGTTCTGGTTTCTTAACCTATCCAGCATCAAGTAGCAACTGCTAGTATTTGACTCATGTGGAGTCCAGTACAGATTGAGGTACAAAAACACTAGAGGATGATGTCAATTATATTAAAGTATTTATTATTTAGAGTAGTAGTTTTTGCAAGGATGGCTAACGGGAGTGGCAGAAGGATAGAGAGAGCTTAAACAGCTCATCTGCTGAAAGAATTGCATGTCAAATCGCAGGTTCGGTCTTTGTGACAGATGTAAGTATTGCGACTTTAGATGTGATGAAACAGGATTATGCAAAATGCAAAAAAATCTTTGCTGTTGAAGAAGTAGTATAAGCAATTAAATTTGTATATTGATACATTATGCTTAAAGTATTTATAGACTTAGTTATACAAATGTTTGTAAGTTTAGCAATATTCTACTATATGAACTCTAATAAATCTACTGGTCAAGTAGAAGGTAAGATCTGCAATCAATGGGTGTATTTTATAAAGGCTTATGTAATTTAGATGATTCAAGGATAAAATTATATTTAAGGGCTTAATTAGAAGCTCTCTCTAGAAAAGATATCTGGGGTCAGTTACTCATCTTGGTTCTGCGGAGCTTGAGATATGAAAATATCATGCCAATTTATTAAGGTGTGTTTTATTTCTTTCTCAATACTGCTAATGCAGTTATATCTTCTATATTTGTCTGTATACAATATTTCCTGTAAAGCCTGTAAGAATTTAAATTTGACCATTTGGAAGGACTAACCTAAATAAAGAAATATTGTATAAGCACCTATCTGCATATCACAGTTTCCTTTAGAGACAAAGTAGTAAAACAGAAGAGAAGAGCCCATCCTTGTCATAGAGGAGAATAAAAAACCCAAGGATATGGACAGTAGTGGAATAAGCTATTGATCTTAGCTGTTTGAATTATACATGCAATAATTTAAAGGCAAAGAGTTAATCAATTGCTGTACAGTCACCAGGTTGTTCTTTTCCAGTAGCTGCAATGAGTCAAGAGGTGAATCTAAAGCGTTTTGTTGGCCTAGTTAAAAAAAAAAAAAAAAAAAAGTACTTCAAAGCACATACACTCATCTCTGAAAGCTTGACTTTACAAGTCAAGTAAGGGAGTGGCTATGCAGAATGCCAAAGACTCCTAGCTGCTCAGGAAGACAACTTGAACCCAGATCCAAAAATCTTAGTTATTTCTATTTTTTTGGTTTAATTTTTTTTTTTACACTTACAGCCAAGAGTGGGAGCCAAAAAATACCACTCAACCCTCCCTTTGTTAGGCTTCATTGTGTGACTATCGCAGTGCCCAGACCTCTACTATTGGGCAGGCCAAGAACTGCCGCTCCCTTGGCAAGATCAATCGTTCTCTGCCCAAGAGGCTTTTAAACTGTCTTCCAGCTCCTCACACTCTTCTCTGACCAGCAGGTTGTTGGCCAGGCTGAAGGGTGGACAGTCCCCCCCACTGCAGTAGGACCCCTTTGCAGTCAGGAGAGGGCAAGAGCAAGCATGAGTTTCTGTACGACTGATACAGGGGGATGGAGGAGGTCTTGGGCACTGCTTCCAGTCTGTTCACAAATTTTTTGTTGAATTGTCCCTGAATACAGTTCAAAAACAAAATTCCTTTGCAGATCTGGCTTTTAGGGCAAGACATTAATATCACCCACACGAGTTCCATTTACATTAGAGTGCAATAAAAGTCTGCTTTGAACAGAGTAGCACACAGACCTTGGGGAATCAGTCTTTAAGCATGCAATACTCAAACAACTGTAGAACCACTTAATACTAATGCCAATATAGCATAATGGATGAGTCTGTATACAGATCAGTTCTTCATGGAGACATGGACTAATGCTGAAGGTAATATATAAATGTACTCATTAAGGATCTTACTGAAGAAGTCTTTATGGTTTATTCCTGAGTTATTGGTGCCTCAGTCTAACTTAGCTGTGAAAGCATTCCAATACCAGACTGCAGCAAATGCCCACAAATTCTTTAGACAAAGATTTAAAAACTCTATGTACAAGCCCCTACCTAATCAGCAATCAGTTTACAGTTTGAAACATGAATTGTCATTGCTGGATTCCCCATATTTATGAGACTAGCCGTGTTTCCCTGTTTTCATTCTTCTTCCAGCTACTCATCTCGTAAGCATCCATAGTAGTATGTTTTAGGTAGGAGAAAAACCCAAAATCTTTTAGCAGCAACAGGACCAGGTATTTCAGCTGAATTATTTTAAATATTGACATATCTTGGTATTAACAAGCAGGAGCTTTTTGTTCCTGTGAAGATTATGTTGGAGTGGTTAGAAAACGTTTGTTTCCAAATTTCTGTTGACAGTGGTCCCAAGGATCACGTGTTTGTTTATTTCACTGACCATGGAGCTCCAGGACTTCTGGCTTTTCCTGATGACGACGTAAGCATTTTGGGGGACCAGTTTGGAGTTTGTCATAAAAAGCATTCTTTTTGTGACATACTAAAATAGTAAATATAAAATACGAAAATGTTTAACTAATTGCCATATTTGGGAGGCAGATAAGCCATATTCTCCTTATCATCTCAGTGTGCATTTTTCCTGATTTGAACCTGAAGAATTCAAGTTGAGACTAAGTATTTAGTACTTGATTGGACATTGGTGGTCCAAGCAGACTGTTCCACACAGGTATGACTTAGCTTTCTAGTGCATTATTTATATTGTTGGGCACAATCACTCATCTTTTCCAGAGTGATAAATATTAGAACATTGTATTTCAGAAGGAAAAACCACTGAATGTATTTAAGTGGAAGCGGTAAACGTTTATTCACAACAGTTGGTCATTATTCCTGTTGAATGAATTGCTTGTTTGTTGAACAGGAGTGGTTTTAATACAAGCCTTCTTGTTTTACAGCTTCATGTGAAGGACTTGAATAAGACCATTTGGTACATGTACCATCACAAAAAATATCAAAAGGTAAAAACGGATATTAGAAGTTGTGAGATTTTTTAAAAGAGAAGCTTGTGTGGAAGAGAGAGATTTGTCTGCACTTCCAGAATTTGTTTAAAGCACAGGGAAGCTGGTGTCATGTAATGAAATTTGGATTTGTGTTTCGCACGCAAGGACTGATAAGCTCCAAATTTTCTCACTTCATTTTTAGTTCATAGTATATTTGCAATCAGTGTTGAGATGTAGCCCAGCCTTTTGAGAACTGTATATATTTTGGCCAACAGCAGAGAAACAACATCCATAACTACCACAGCCTCATAGTATGCACCTGACTTGTTCTTCCTGTGCTTTGTACACTTCAGACTGCACTGTTACTACAGGAGGTTTGTGTATACCTCGTGTTTCACTTACAGTTACTAATATAGTTTAAGAGACTGCACCTCTTGTCAGAGATTTCTGCATATTTATTTCATCAAAAGGGAAGTAATTTTAGACCGACAAACTAATTAATATTTAGAACATTTTAGCAGCGTGTGCTTTTACAGAAACTTTCTGTGGTTATCTAAAACTACTGTGGCTGGCTGTATTTAAGAACACATAAGTGGTTACAGGTTTCAGAAATACTGCATCTACATTCAATGCTGGTACTAACCAGGTTATTTGATGTGACTGAGTTTGTCGGTAGATCCGTGTGGATTCTGTGTAGATTAACTGAATTGTTTCATTCACATTTCCCCCTTCCACGTGATTTAGTTCTCAAAGTGAAAAAAATGTTTATTTGCTTTTGTGTTTTCTTTTGTAGCATTATAAATAGCTTTTGTTTCAGAGCAGGCCAACTAGTTACAGCTGAAAAGCACTGAAGGACTTTTCTCCATTTCCTGATGGAATTTCTTAAAGTCTCTGACTTTTTATAGATGGTGTTTTATATTGAAGCATGCGAGTCTGGATCTATGATGAATCATTTGGCTGATAACATTAATGGTGAGCAATCAGTTAACTTATTAGACTTAAATTTCTCAACCTGTGACAGGCAGGACCTGAGCAGATGGTATGTCCAGGATAGGTTCACAGCACTTTCATATACAGTTTTAACAAGTAAACACCAGGATTAGAGAAAGCAGGATTTTCCATTTGTTTTAAGTCCCTTTTAAAAAAATGATAAAGTCGTGTAAAGAATATCCAGCTTTTCAGTTGCTTGCAAATAAGAAGTTGAAAGAATATTTCATTTCAGAAACGACGTGGTTGCCCTGACCACATAGTAGTTAAGTCACAGTGACATATCTCTGCTTCGCCACAGTCCAGATATGAAGTTTCAGCTGTCGGTTTCCTTGAATAGCAAAGACACTTATGATACGTGATAGTCAGGCAACTTTGCTGCACTGATTTGGACAACAATCAAAGCAACTACTTTGAATAGTAGTTTTTGACAGTGTTCCCCCTGCCCCGAAGTGCACATTCTTCCCTAAACCCCCCCAGAGAAAATGCAACTGGCAGCAAGAAAAGACTTCTTATAACAACGGTGAGAGTGGCTTTGAACAGAATAATTAGAAGGTTAGAAGCATTTTTCTTTCCTCCCTCTTGCTATTTAGAAGTTAATGATTGAAAGCCAAAATACTTAGCTGCGTATGATATATTTGCCTAAGTACTGAATGAACTGGAAAAACAAATGAAGACTATTTTCTATTTGTCTTACAGTTTATGCAACAACTGCTGCCAATCCCAGAGAATCATCTTATGCATGTTACTACGATGATGAAAGGCAGACTTATCTTGGTGACTGGTACAGCGTGAACTGGATGGAAGACTCAGATATGGCAAGTTAACTTAGATGAGGTTTCTGTGTTTCCATGCATAATAATCACCAGGTTAAAAAAAAAATCATTTTTAACAGGATTTACAGAAATCTTTTTGCTTTTGTGTAGGATTGAAATCCACAAATTCTGAGTTGGTAAAAGTATTTGTCTACTATTCAGACCCATGTGCAATCTTTATTTGGACTACTAAATTTATTTCAGAAACTTAGTTTCAGCTACTTGCTACTTTTTTTTGAATAGTAACATTAGAAACTGTCTAGCTTCCAGTTTCAAGCTCACATAATCTGGATTTACTAATCTGAGACTACATCTCTAATTTGTTAAACAAATTAGGCAGTTCAGTAAGTTGTACATCAGCTTCAAGGATCCTTAAATAGCGAACAGTGGCTAACATTTGTTAGTATAATGGAAAACAGTATTAGTGAAACGAGTCTAGAATTCTTGTGCTAGCCCCATTCTTTCCCAGTTGCTGAGAGATCACTGACAAAAATTTGAGTATGCTGTCAAATCTTTATTTCCATTTTTACTTTAATGTCTTTAAAGGGTGTATAGTTCTTGTACTTCCCTCTACCTAGTGGCACCTAAGACCCTTCCCAGGTTTCCTTGCATTTTTAGAATAGCTGAATTTAAGTATCTGTGATCACATGGAAGTTTCTTCATGCAGGAAGATCTAAGAAAAGAAACACTCCACAAGCAGTTTCAGCTGGTGAGGAGACGCACCAACACCAGCCATGTGATGCAGTATGGAAACAGAGTGCGTATCTGAGTGGGCTTTGTGGTTGGATACATCGTTGAGCCTCGTCCGCCCTTTACTTTCATCCCTTTAAAATTGCTGTAATCTGGCAAGGTTGGTTTAGAATGTGAAACTATTCGCCTGAAAAGACCCCTCAGCATTTGAGAGCCAATGGTCCTGATGCCAAAGGAAGCAGAGCCTTGGGTTAAAGGAAGAAGCTGGGAGTCAGGATATGAGTTGTCCTCTAAGCTCTGCCGGCGATTTAACACTTCAGATCAGTCATCAGACATATTATGAACGTTAATGGATGTTAAGTATATTGATCCCTTGGATAGGAGGAGCTAGGAGTTGATATGTTATCCCATTTATAATAGTTCCATTATTCAATGTGTTAGTAGAAATACACATGAAATGTGTTAAAAAAAAATCAGATTACTTAATATGATGGTTTCTCCCTCCTCCAGCCCAAAGAGTTATTGAGATAAAAACTCCCTAACTTTTGGCAGCCTTGATCATGTAAAACAAAAATTTACCACCCTATAGACTCCCTCGTTTTCTCTAATAAAGCAAGTTGAGAAAGTTAGCAGGTTTCCATGGCAAAAAAAGGCATACTGCCTCCTGGAGGTGCTTGATGATTTCCATTTGTTTGCTTTCTGACATGCAGAGCATCTCCTCTATGAAAGTGATGCAGTTTCAGGGCATGGGGAAGAAAGCTGTCCCCATTTCTCTGCCACCTGTAGCACACTATGACCTGACTCCTAGCCCTGATGTGCCTCTTGCAATCATGAAACGAAAGCTGATGGCTACCAACGATATTTATGAGGCTAAGAAGATTGCAACAGAGATGAAAATGCACTTGGAGGTAAGCAAAACAAAAAACAAACAAAAAAAAAAGAAAAACATCAGGTCAGATTCAGTTCTCTCTTAAGCAGTGCCAGAAATCACACCTCTGAAGCCAAGGAGATTGCTTCCAATTTTGGCCAATTTGCAAGAGAATTACTCCTCAGATTAGTAACCTCTAGCTGATGGCTTAACTCTTCCTTTAAAATTCAGGAATCTGTTCCACAACGCACATTCAGTAGTGCTCATCTAGATAGATATAAGCAAATGCAAAAGTTAACCTCCCAGGCTTTCTTGCCCGGAAATTCCTTGTCTCCGTCTGTAGGGATTCTTGTAGTATGAAGTTATTCTTTGGTAGTAGAAAAAGTCATCTCAGTAGAACTGAAGTCTCCCAAATCAAACAGCTGCTGCAGAAGAGTAGCCACTATTGGTGCTATCTTTCTTCTTTTGGCAGACCACTAGAAAGACAATGAAAGTTTTTGGGTGCCAGCAGTCTTTCTTCCTACTTCTGGTGTATGTTTTAAGAGACTGATCCAAAAGATTCCGATAAAAATAAGTGGCAAAACAGGGCTCCTGAAAAAGCCTGGATGTTTGGCGTTGGGAGGTGTTAAAGAGGAATTTCATTCAGTCTCTTCAGATTAGGGGTTAGAAAAGCATATTTTAAATTCTTTTTGTCTTATGTGCAGGCTAAAGAATTTATCCAGGAATCTATGCGGAAGATTATCACCTTAGTAACAGGATCGAAAGAACAGACCAACCAAATTCTGTCAGACAGATTGACCATCAGCAATTATGACTGCTACCAGGCAGCAGTGAACCACTTCAGAACTCATTGCTTCAACTGGCACTTTCCTGTGGTAAGTCAGGCATTAGATATAATCTGATACAGGTACTGGTTAAAAAAAAAAAAAAAACCCACATCGATCACAGGCAGGTCTGCAAAATCAACTTTTGTCAGAAACCTACCATGAGGGCAATCTTACAACTCAGTTTTGGAGAAAGGGTGAGTAATGTTTTAGGAAGCAAGAAACCACTTCCAGTACACTTGTGGATAAGTTAGAAGATTACCAAGAATGCCTTACTTTGGGGTGCAGGGACACACACAAAAAACTCTGTAGCTTTTACTGTCTTGTGCTACCGCTTCATCAAGTCCTCCCCACAAATCCCAATATTGAATAACTCATGTTGTACTTCTGCTTGAAGCCATCTCTAATAGCAAAATAGAAATGTAGCACCACCAATTAGACTTCATAGTCCTAGTACCTTCAGATTTCTATACCATGACTGTATGTTGAGTAGTTCCTTGAGATAACCTAACTGTTATTTCCAAGATCTTGTTGAATTTCTGAGAGCTACTTCTTATTTTAGCAGCTTTATTACTGTTTTTCCCTGAGATCTCAGTCAAGACCAGGTCTTGTTGTGAAAGGCACTGTTAAGACAACAGTAAGAGAGATCAGTCCCTGATCCAGAAAACTCAGTCCTGATGTCAGACAAGATTCACTAGACAGGCAGGCAGAGGTGCGTTTTAGGATAAGTCAACAACAAAATAAATTGCTCTTAGCAGAAGGCAAGGAGATTGCCTGGCAGTTAGCCAAGACTTAAGTACTATATGGAAATCAGTCATATGTATTCCTTCAGTAGGAGGCCACGTTGCGTAGACTTTTAGTTCCTCATCAGTTTTGTTTTGACTGCTTAGATAATTGAACGTTGCCTAAGAAGGGAACCCACAACTACAGCTGAAGTTACCTGATGAAGTTCAAGGAGGAGAGTACACAAGAAACACCTGTTCAGCACAGTACTAGATTATCAGCACCAGAAAATAAGCGCCTTGAATATTAAGGGCATCTCTAATTTACTTCCACCAGCTGGTCTGGATAAACAATCATTGCTCTTCATCATTGATGTTATTAATGATGTTTGTGTATTTCAGTATGAATATGCATTGAGACAGCTCTATGCGTTGGTCAATGTTTGTGAAGGAGGATATGCCATTGACAGGTAACAAAGTTTCCAGCTACCCTCCCTAGTTTTATCTGTGGTCAGAAAAGTAGAAGCTGACAGAAACTTGCAGGATAACGTTAGAGGTTTCTAACTTGTTCTGCTCTGTTGTCTATTTTGTCAATAGAGATCTGATTCTTAAGTTACAAATGCTCCTTTTGAAATAAAAAAAATATTAGCACTTTCTCAGTCACTTACCGTAAGGATTCAGCTCCCCAGTTAGCATTTGATTTCCCTGGTGAAAAATCTCAGGCAAAATTGATCCACTTCAAAAACCACTTCAAAGTAGCATAGCTTGTGGGTTTTACAGGGCAGGGATATTGCGCTGTGACTGCTATATGAGCCTACGATGATGCCAAGTTGGAAACTGCAGTAGTTTTCCCTCTGCCCCCTCAGTTTCTGGCTCAGGACACTGCAGTGTGGCTGAGTTCTAGTGAGGAAAGGGAATATGCCACTAGTGCCCCCATATCTGTGCACAAGTGGTAGGGAAGTGAGGAGATAAGGGTCCAGGCTAAAGTGTTGTGGTAGGGGAAATGGAAGCATGGTGTTGAAATCCTGACTTGGGAGGCTGTAGTATGTGGTAGAGGTTGGGATTCCAGCTTGCCAAGTCATGCAATAGGAAGAGAAGAGAGAGAGGAAAGCAGGAGTAGGGAAGGAGGGCAAAGAGCTGATAGTTTAGGCGGCGCACACATACAGCCCAGAAGGTGAGCAGCTGCTGTCCTCACTCCTAGTGGCATTTTAGTACAGTCAGTTTGTGAAATTGAGTCTAAGAGCAGAGAGCCTGAAAAGTTTCTCATCATTATTATTTTCTGTTGCAGAATACGCCTGGCCATGGATAAAGTGTGCCTTGGATTAATGTAAACCTCAAATTAATGGAAACAACAGTCCATAGAATAGCCCTTACTACAAGCGATAACTTTTCATAACCGTAATAACCCAGACTTTACGTGCATGCAACATGAAGAGGGTCAACCACTGTATCAGTCTTAAGTACTGTGTTGGGCAGCTGACCATGAGCAAAAGAGCACTTGCCAGTGCTTTCCCCTGTATCCCTGCCCATTTGGCAGACCACACTGAGCTTTCAAGGTGGATGATTTGTTTCAAAGTGCAGTGCTCTAAGAATCTTTGGATGAACACTACAAGCCACCTATTGATGATTCTAATTCTATGCTAAATTTAAACTTTGACTCATTAATTATGGAAAAATTTTATATTAGTGCTAGCTATTAGTTTTTTAAAAAAAATTAACAAACGTTTGTTTACAGTGACTAAATTGCAGACTGATTGAAGAATGAAGAAACCAAAGTTCGTTGTTTAAGCTTTAGCTCCTTAACAGTTTGAAGAAATGAGTTGCATTCAAGAATTATCAGTTGTGCTAAACTGTGAATGACAAAAGCCTTTGTGGGTAGAAAGCATTGTTTCCCAAAGAAAAACACAAATATCTAATGCTGTAATTTTATCATTAGTATGACATAATTAAATGTATGTACACACAAACCTCTGGGAAGTCTCTACCTCTGGGAGTACAGAACTTGCCTGTGAATAAAAATAAAAGTTGGGAGTTTCATCAACCTTCAGGGCAATACAGTGTTGTATACCTCATTTCTTGAAACAAATGAGAGCTAATTCCTTTTGTGAGACTGCATTAAATGGTTATCTACCCCTTTGAACTATTTATAAGACAGACCATCTCAAAAAAAATTCCAAAACTCTCATTTGAAAGAGCCGGTTCTTAGAGGTGACTCAATGAATAACAAGCAGAACAAATTAGAAGTTATGAGGTGCTTCAGAACAGTTTCAGGTTGTTCGTACAGTTTTTTTACATGTAGAGATCAAATACAGAAATACTTCAGAGTTCTTTCCAGACTATCTTAAAATATGAAAAATTACCTCCACAGGAAAAAACAAACTTTGGAGAAACTCAACCAGTGTCTGTAAGATGTTAGGAATTCTGGGCAGCACCACCCATAGCAGCTGGGGCCTGTTGAAATTCCATTTATATAGAGAAGAGCCCAGGAGCATGCCAGACCATTAGCACCTTCCGCTGTCTGCTGAGTGAGTGAATGAGAGAAATGCCAGAACACAGCTAGCGTAAAGAAAGATTGCATGAAGTGAAACCTATGTGGAACTCAGCTTGGCTGAATTAAGAAATTGAAGTTCACGGGTTGGGGGGTTGTTGAAAGTTCAGAAGTTTGCTTCTTTTGAGTAGCTTCTTGTTTCTTTTCAGTTGTGAAACTTAATAGACAGTGACAGTCTAAAAATGAGAGAGTGTGAAGTTCCCAGGTGTCCGAAAGTGTTGCAGGCATTTTGCTGAAGGCAGGAAGAGGAGTTGGCCATACAGGACAGCTTCCAGGCAGTCTGGCTGCCATAACTAAACATTGTACCAAGATTCCCCAATCACTGTGAAAGTACAGACAAATTGAAAGGACTCTTTTGGAGACCTATTTAAATACATATATTGAACCTGCCAGGCTTTTCAGATCTCTGCTTTAGAGTTTTTCTCTGGCCTAGAAATCCAGCCTGCTTCTCAGGCACTTAGCTTCATCAGTTCATAGTTTTAACGTTTTTCTTCACCCTCCATCCCTTTTTTCTTCAGCCTTTGGAAAATAATAATTTCCTTCTAAATTATTCAAAAGCAGCTTTTGGATGTCCATGTCTAGAATGAAGACAGAAAAAAGCACCCCAGTTTCTTCACAAATAACATCACTTCCAGTCATATAAAGCACCTTTCTATAGCTATATAAAGTAGGCCTCAACAAGTATTTCTCAGATGAAAACACAAGACACAGGAGCCGAGTGACTTGTTGAGGCTCCGCAGCCTGGTTTGAATTGCTAGTGTATATTATTTTCAAACATAACACATATGTAGGTGGTGCTTGTACCTCATTAACATCACAAGCCCTGGCCCTCCTGTAGATCCTTGTCGCTTTAGAGGGTGCAAAGCTGAAAGGTGACACGGGAGGGGGAGGGGGAGAGGGGTTGGTCTGTCCATAAGCTTTCCTCCTCTAAAACTGATTGCGGGGGACTCACCTGACTTTCCCTCTCCTGGTGTTGTTACCCTTTCCCTTAGGAATATTCCTGAAATGAAAGAGGGGCAATCTGCAGATGAACCCACTGCACCTGCAATACTTTCTGAGATTCAGTAGGGTTTTTCCTTCTCTCTCCTAAAAAGCCCTAGAGATGTTATAAAATTGCCAGGTCTTATCCGGAGACCACTTTTCCTTTGTAGTCATTCAGTGAATAGCCCTGCAGAATAAAATTAAAAAAAAAAAATTACCTCCAAGCCCACGGCGATCGATAGATTTGTTTTAAGGCCTCCAAATAGCATCGCATAGGCTTAGTGCCTGTATGGCAGGCTGCTTATTTTTGGATAGTATTAGAAACCAATTAGAAAATAAATTCAGGATTGTGCAAGGTTAGTCTCACGCCACAGCATCCTGTGTTGAATTGTGCAACCACCCTCACTCATCACACAGGCACACAGCTGCTCAGACTGCAACTCCTACGATGCAAGGATGGAAGAATTCAGCTTCTTCAAAATTCATAAAAGTGTCAGGCTCCCAGTAAATTGCCATCACTAGTCTGAACAGAGGAAAGTTGAGGCTGTGTTGCTTAGAAAGACTTTTCCTGCCCAGAATAATTATGTATATAGCTAGCCCCTGGGAAGAGTGCCTTTCTCACCAGCTGGTTTTTCCTGTCCCTCCTCTTTATTACTGCTAGATGATGTTAGATGTTGAAGCTCCTTCTCCCAGTCATTGTGTGACAAATGTCCTGGCAGATGGGGGAGGTTTCTACACATCATCCTGCTGTGCACCGCTATTCACAGCAGTTTCCTTGGGCCTACAGTGACAGGAGGAAAGATCAATCTCTATAGCATATTGTATACTGCAAATTTATGTAGATGCAGTTTTATTCAGAGCTCATATAACCACCCTCACATCTCTAATAATGACAAGCAAAAGAAAATTCATCTTGAGTCAGAAATGACGAATTATTCACAGATTCCCGCAGGTTAGTATTAGTTTAGCTCTGTCCGAATGGAGTTGTGTCTTCTCTCACCTGGATGGCTAAGGTAAATGCCATATTTGTAAAGAGCTATGTCCATTTCATGCCAGGAGTTTGAAGGCCTGCAGTGTCCTTTGCTCGGCCTCTTTGCCCTTTGTGAAAGGCAATGGAGGAGCAGGGAAGGGAAAGGAACCTCCTGTATTAAAACACGGAAGTCACAACTAAGCAGCATTTATTTCATGTCCAGTGCTCAGGCAATTCTGAATCTGAGGCCTCTTCCTTGCTAGGGACCCGATACCCCAAAAGAGATGGGAGAAAACTGAAACATTACAATTCTGTCCCTCCCTGGCACGCACGACAGGCAGAGCTGGCCAGTATGACGGAGTAGCAACACCAACCAAGGAAGGGCACTGGTGCAACAGCAGGGTCTTCTCACTAGGTGGATATGAGGAGACCATTTTTCACAGTGCAAGCAGTTAAATGCTGGGACAGGCCCCCAGCGAGGCAGTGGGATCTCGAGCCTTGGAGACCTGCAGCACAGCAAGGCCAAGTTACTGAGCACCCTGAGCTGACTTGCAGTCGGCCCTGCTTTGAGCTGGGCACCGGACAGGAGAGTTCGAGGGTCCTTGCCCACCTGGATCACTCCATGAGCTTGTGGAAAAAGGACAGTCCCATGCTGGGTTTCAAAGTACAGTTTGGTGATAGATGAATGATCCTGTCAGGAAAACTGCCTTTGACTTCAATGGCTTTTATTTTAGGTCATACCTGACCTGCCGGAGCAATTATTTCAGTCAATTATTGCCAGAGTGTATCATTGGACACAAAGTGGCATTAAGGCAGCTCCGTGCATGAAGCAGCCACTCAGGCTGTTTGTATTTTTTTTCTTTTCGAAAGTTGCTGGGTCTCTCCCTTCCTCTCTCTCACATTGGGATCCTTTTCTCATGAGTAAACGAGTGCTTGTTTCACAATGTCTCTGTGGGAACGAGCGTTTGAGGAGGCCTTGGCCAGATTGCACAACCCTCCATGGTCAACATCTCTGGAAGGCGCTCGTCTGCTGATGGCTCATGTGAGGGCCAGTGCGTGAGTCACCGCCTGGCCACCTTGACTAACGCGGAGGGCACAGATCACCAGACCCGGCTGCTTCCTCCTTGCCTGCTCTGCAGACGCCACCGACAGCGTGAGGAACCCCGGGGGCAGAGCAAGCGAAGAAAATCCCATGGAGTATTCAAAAACAAACGTTTCAATCCCACATTTATCCCCTTTCCTCAGCGCCTGAAATGTCAGGCGCCAACCAAAGCAGCACAGGACCCAAAGGCACCCAGAGGGAGAGGAGTCCCGGCTGGTGCTACCACCCGAGAAGCTGGGCTGGTCCGTGTGCCCAGGGCTCG